GTGTTAACACACACCTCAATGCTCGAGACCAGCAAACTCCTAAAGCTTTGGCTTTTATAGAGGTAGTCACACTTGCTGGTGATCATTTGATCAATGGCGTTTGATTAGCAGCACCTAGCTGCTACTTAGCCTCTTCATACCTATGGATGTACTAAGGGTGTACTTAGTAAAACTAAGGGTGTAGTTTTTCACACGTGGCTTTTCCATGTTGGCTTTCTTTTTGTAAAATAAATGATGACATGGTATAATATGTCATGTGTTGTTGTATTTACCTACTTTTGAGAACTGATAAGGACCAGATGATTTTTATTATGTCCTGATATGTAAACCCATAGAACTCAAAGAGGGTGTACTTTCTTTTTCAGACGACTGTATCTCTCTTTTACACTGGAAATGTGGTTACTTGGCTCAAGATGTTGCATTCAGAATTGTAGAATGAAGGGCCTTCAGTGGGACCGTGAAAGGGCACAGAGAAAATGAATTATAAGTATGCAGAAATAGATTTCAAATGTGACTTGGCATTGATAAATCTGGAACTAAATGGTTTATGGCCTGCTGGCAGAAAAGACCAGCCTGCCTAATGGGACAAACTGGGGGAAATGGCATAAAGATGGCCGGTGTTATGGACCATTTGGGTATTCCCACTTTTATCAGTAGAGCAGAGGAGCACAGGTTTTTCCCAGGTAAAAGGCTGCATTTGGTCACTTAAGGGCATGCTGAAGGCCACACTCCAAAAGTAACGACCAAAGCAAAAAGTTAATTTGATTGCATACATAATGTATTAATTTTTTAATTACATAAGTTAATATGTTTACTGTCCAGTCATGTATCCAGTTATGGACCTGATCCTACTGGCTTTTTGCAAGGTCTTAAAGATGATGGTTCTGTCCCCAGGCTTGGGGATCTGGATGTGTGGTAGAGCCCATGCAGAGGCTGCATTAAATGCTGTTGGTGGTTTTTGTACCTAGAGGATGAAGCTATTGTGACAGTGGTCAAGTGGAAGCTAGTCTAACCTTGAAGTTTCGTTAAGGAGGGTTCTTTGATGGTGTGTGGAAGACTAACTTCACAAGCCCTCTGAATTGTGGTCTCAGTCTAAAAACAAAATGTTTAACCATTTGTGATATATGAAGTTAGAAAAATGGCAACAATTTAAATCCCAAAAATATTTCCAGTCTGAGCAAAACTCACAGGTATTAGCTAGAAAGCCAGAAATACATTTTTCCTGGACCTATTAACCATCAGCCAATGAATATTCATAGTATGATCTTTCTCAATATGTAAGTATACACAGCAGGAAACTATCAAAGCTATCACATCAACTTTGCCTTGTTGAAGACCCCTTTAGGGGTTAAAGGGCAGATTAAAGGGAATAAACCTCTTCTGCAGCTTATTCAAGCCATCCTATAAGTAAAGCCAAGCCACGCACTAAGCTTGCCTCATCACTGTTTAATTATGTGCCATCAAATTGATGTTGATTCTTAGTGCCCAGGAGAATCTGTCCCCAGCCTGGTCCTTCCAGTTTTCCAGAAGTGCAACCACTGCTGCCATAATTGAGTCCTTTCACCTTGCTTCTGGTCATCCACTTTCTCTCTTTCCTTCCACTTTTCTGAGCATTGTAGACTTCTTCATAGGGCTAGGTCTACAGATAATGCGTCCAAAGCATGATAATTTGTGCTTCGAATTGGGGCTGACAGCTCTTTTAGAATTTCCACCAAGGAAGACAATATTGAATGCCAGTACAAATATATGTGATAGCTTTGTTTAGGAAATAGAACCTGTAAAAAAATTCTGAGGATTGTGTCTGATCTGAAGTCTAATTCAGTTGATAATACTCTATTAAATCAGAATCCTGGGTATGCTGGTCGTCAGGAGTTACCTGAAAACTTGAAAATCAACTTCCGCTCAGTGGCAATGATGGTTCCTGATCGCCAGATCATCATCCGTGTCAAACTGGCTAGTTGTGGCTTCATTGATAACATTGTGCTTGCAAGGAAGTTCTTTACTCTGTATAAACTCTGTGAAGAGCAACTGTCTAAGCAGGTAGGAGAGATGACCTTTTATGAACAATTCTGTTCTGCAAATAAACCAAAGAACAAGCATTTAACTAGAACTTAGTGCTATAGATGCCGGCAGCTATAGAGATGATGTTCTTAGGAATGACAGTGTTACAAAATAACCTGAAGAATCAGGATCTTTTTGGAGGGCAAGGAATAGCTTATCAAATACTGAATTTTTTTTTTTAGTATTATTGGAGTGTGGCAGGGCATTGATACATAGGAGTTTTAAAGATCTAAAATAATCAAAAACTAGATATTCATTCCTAGAAAGGGAAACATTCCTTTGAGATTTAAGTTTAAATATGACTTTTATGCAAGGTGCATCAAAGCAGAAGGAAAAAAATGGGGGAAAGACCCTTTTCTGCTGGACAATATTTTTTCAAAGAAATGCATTTATTTTAATATACCAAACAATATGTAATAAATGTTTTGTTAACTGAGAAAGGGCAGAAACGGTATTGGTCTATGATTGATTATGTACCATCAAATTAGTGTCAACTCTTAGTGACCACACTGACAGGTTTTCTCCAGGAAGATCTCTCTCCAACCTGGCCCTTCAGGTTGTCCAACGTTGCATCCATTGCCACTGTAATTGAGTCCATCCACCTTGCTGCTGGTTGTCCTCTTTCCTTCCAATACTAGTCGATGCTTTTGAATAAATGCATCACAGCAAAATTAAGCACTCAAAGAATGAGTATTTTTCTCTGGAGAAGTAATTCCTTTTTTTTTTTTTAAAGGAATGCTTCATTTCTATTTTTAATGTTTTGGGTTGCAGCACAGATATATTTTATCAGACTTTTTAAAAAGAATGAGAGACGTGTTTTCCTTTACCTTTTCTTTTTTGGTAAAATTTTCATTAGAAGGATAGAACAGATCATTTGCTTTCCCAGATAGTTGAAACTAGTGTGATAAAACTGGTTTTCCACAGAGGATGAATTTTATGTCTTTCTCTCAGTCTATTATCCTGAACCAAAGTAAGTCTGCAGAGGTTCCTAGTGTTTCAGCATTAAGATGGTCCAATGTGTACAAACGCTTTTTAAATCACTATATATAGGTAACCAAGTAAGGGCAGTACTAGACACAAAGAGCAATACTGGACTCCTGTTTAATCAACAATCCTATTTCAATCAACAATCTTTTTTTCAGCAGTACTAGAAATGCATACTATGTTTCTCCACATCTGTTCTACATATTACTGTTGCTAGTCCTGGAGAATATATTTTGTTCTATCACATGTTTGCATTACATCACATTATGGGCAAGAGGATTTACTGTTATAATTGGGAACTCTGAGCTGATTAGAAATCATTCTACCATTTTCAGTAAGAGCTTTTCAACTGAGTAATGTACTTATCTCTAAGCCAACAGATGTTGGAACCCAGAATGTCTGTTTGCATCCTTGCTTTAATTTTGGTTGCTTTATCTAGAACCTTTTGTCTTATTTGTAGGTGCATTATGACTTTGGTCTGAGAAATATATTGTCAGTACTACGGACCTTGGGAGCAGCCAAAAGATCAAACCCAGATGACACTGAATCCACTATTGTAATGCGTGTTTTAAGAGATATGAATCTTTCTAAATTGGTAAACATGAATTCAGATATTTGCCCACTTGGGGTTTATTTGGATGCTATTCCTTGGTTGGCACTCAGACACTGATTCGGTGTGCTCTTTTGCCTTCTTTTAGGTTAGCTGCTGACTCAGCCATCTATATATTAAGTTAGGTATCAGAAATTTGTGGGCAAAACTGAAGTCTGTTTGGACCATTAGAGTAACAAGGGGAGAAGAGACAAGTATGCTAAACCATAGACTTTTAAGCCTAGGTTCCAAACTAAGCAGAGGTGGTGGTGGTGATGATGATGATGATGATGATGATGATGATGATGTATTAAACTTGTATGCCACCTGATTCTCCATGACTGGATGGAAATAGAGTATGATACTGATGTAGAGAAAGAAAAAAGCACCAGTATAGGATAGAGGAAGAGGAGAAATAGAGAAAGAACATGCCCAGGCTGCCTATAGGATTAGGGAAAGGAAGTTCTTAGAACTATCAGTTAGAGCAGAGGTTGGCAGATGACTTCTGCACAGGAACCAGGAGCCATGTCTGTGAGGAGATGGTGGGCTGCTCTTTCCCTCTCTATCAGGTGAATATGCTGGCACTTAGGAGGACTCTTCAGGGCAAACCAGAGATGCATTTCTTTCTTAGGGGAAAGAAAGGGAGGTGCAGCCAAAGAGGGTATGCACCAAAGAGTCTTGGGTTGCCTCTTGTGATTGGGGAAAGAAACGGTTATAGAGGTAGGAAAAAGAGATCTCAGTAACCAAAGTACACTATAAACACATGTATATTTATTTACAGGCCTATAACATTGTCCAAATCATTACAATTTATTAAAATAGTACAGTTCTATATCAGACTTGAGATAGAATTACAAACCTGAATTCTTTTTTAGGACCACCATGGGCCAGATGGATATGATACTTCTTTTTGGGACTACTGGCCAGACAATTTCAGGTGGTGGGTTGGATTTGGCCTGTGTGCTGTAGGTTGCTGACTCCTGAGTTAAAGCAATGGTTGTAATCATGATGGGAGGTTCTCTTGAGACTTCCATTTTGGATAAACAAATACAAAATCTTTCACATGGAGCTCCAAACACCAGTTATGATAATGATAATTACAGGAATAACTAACTTCATGAGGTCCCATGGAGTGCAGAAGGAGTTTTCTCTTTTACCAAACTCCAAAGTAATAGGCATAACTAGCAAAGCCTATTTGAGTTTGTAGGAGAGGAAAGAAAAGTAGTACAAGGAAATAAAGTTTACATTGGTTTGAAAAAACTGTACAGTATTTTCCAAAAGTGATGGAGAACATAGGATTTGAGGAGTCCACACCCAGTTCCCTTGATACTAAGGAAAATGCTTGCATTATTGAGTAGCTCAACTATGGAATGCTCCATAACTGGGGTTCATTAAGGTTCATTCCCACATGCTTTCTCTGTGTCAGGCCCAGCCCAAGAACAATGGTGAAACAGTCTGGTCGAGTATAGTTCCTTTATTTGCTTAGACCTTATAGACACAATCTTGCCAAACTAAATCTATACTACAGCAACGAATGGATATACCTTGGGAGATTCTAGGGAGTGGCTATCCTGAACTTCTTTCGCTTCCCATGCTCCCCCTGAGGACTATATTGTCTCTTGTTCTCCTCCTGGAATGCAGCCCCGCCCTCCTGATAGCCTTGATCTCTCACACTCTGTTTCTGTCATGTACGCACTATATTAGATAAAGATCTTTCTAGTTTGTAATTTTACGTTGTGGCTGTATTCACCATTGTTTTAGTAATCTGTAGGTATATTGTTTCTGTGCTTACTTTTGTTAGCTGCCCTGAGAGTTACAATACCGCAGAACAATAAACTGAACTTCCAAAATGGGTGAACGAATGAACAATTTTTCATATGTTGAGAGTTGAGTGGAGAAATCAGTTAGAATAATATATGTTGCAAATTTTCTTTTCAAGACAATTCCTTTGTCTTTGTGCTTGGAATGTAACACATAGCAGATTACTGCTTATCTTCTGTTGCTTCAAACGCTGTGATTTAAATCCCTGTTTCGATGGAGAGCTAGCATTTTCTCTGGTTTTGTTAAAGCGCTTCTTTTGGCATCATTTAGTGTCCTCTGATCCTCATTTTCTGTAGGCCATCTTGTTTGTCAAGGTTTTTTTCCCTTCTTCCTGAGCTCCAAATAGTTTCTGAAACATAATTTTTCACACACAGCATACCTGCCTCAGTGAAAGATGATGGGTCTGGACCAGTTACCTTTCACTATGCACGTTGCACTCTTTCTGAAAACATTTTTTCAGGTATTATAGATGGACTGAGATTAGTTTTCACAAACTTCTGGGGCCTTATACATTCTATCATTTTCAGTTGTTGTTTTTTTTAACTATTCCTGCCTTGATAGTGTTTCAGTTTTATTTGCACTGTCCTTTCTCTGACCTGAGCCTGCAAAATGTGCATTATTTACCAGCCAGGCAGTAGAAATGTATTTAAATTGGTGAATTGTGGTTCTTCTGCATATTATAAAATTGGGAATTTATGATTAGGTACTCGCATGTAAATATTACATGATAGAAAACAGTAATTTTCCTATTACTTTTTATTGCTAGATAGATGAAGATGAACCCTTATTTTTGAGTTTGATAGAAGATCTTTTCCCAAGTATACAGCTTGACAAGGCAGGCTATCCAGAGCTAGAAGCTGCCATTAGCAAACAGGTACTGCTTACAAACATTTATATGCTGTTTCTCTTACGTCACCATAATCCTCTTGCTAAATCCATAATCTCTTGAAAGATGTATCAATACTTTCCTCAAAGCAAAACTAAAAATGAAAACTCCTATTGGTAAAATTTTTCATTTTCCCTTAGCACAACATTTTCTTAGCTATCTATCTTGTTCTGTGATGAAGATACATTTGTAATTAAGGACACAGTCCTACCTTGAATTCCACCAGTGAAGAGACCATTCAGTTTGGCAAGTTCAAGCTATACCCATGGAATAGTGGGTGGAACTGTCTAGAAGCAAAGATACCCTGGCAGAATATCTAAAATGGGGTTGGCTGTAGACAGCACAGGAAAGGAACATTCCTTTACTGTATATTAAATTACTCCAAGTGGCAGTAAAAGGTGCTACTTTACACCCAAGGATTTCTTTTCTGTTGACATAAACGGAGAGTATGTTTTCTTTTTAACTGGTTGACGTATTCGTCCTATTGAACAAACGACATCACTGCAGCCCCCCTGCCAGCATAGTCACTTGTCCTTGTCCTCCCTGCATAGCTCCTGATGCAGACATGTTCAAAGAGAAGATCTGGAAGGAGTTTCTGTTCATGTGAGCAGAAGCCTCCTCATGTTCTAATAAAGCAAGGGTAAAGTCTAAGCAGGGATTCTGTGTGGATAAAATAATTAGTACTGTAATTCTTGACAGGTTGAAGAGGCTGGCTTAATTAATCACCCACCATGGAGACTGAAAGTTATCCAGCTGTTTGAAACACAGCGAGTAAGGCATGGCATGATGGCTCTAGGTCCTAGTGGAGCAGGAAAAACGACATGCATCCACACACTGATGAAATCCATGACAGGTCTGGAAAACTGTTCCTAGCATCAGTAAAATAATAATTTTGGTCTTCTGATAAAATGAATTACTAGTAAGAGGAAGCTTTTTAAAGGACTACATCGTTAAAACAGTATAGTTTTGCCCAAATAGTTAAGTGATTGTTTCTGAAAATATTAGTATTCTTTGTTTTGAGTCATTGTGATGTTCTTGAGAAGAACAGTTTGAGAAGACAGTTACTGTGACAACAGCAGAATCTAAACAGATCACTATTCCAAAGAATTATAGTATAAACAGAGAATATGTGGGTTGGTTGTTCACATATAACAATAAACTGCACCTCACAAAAACCTGGTAGTATTCTCAGTCATGACTCAGCTCAGAGGTGAGCAAATTCACATTGTTCCACTGTGTAGTTTGTTCTACCTACACCACATTTTTCAATGACTTGTGTCTCCAAGGCCCTTGTAATCCTAGAATATTGCCATATAGCTAAATTGTCTAAGTTTATTGCTATGGGCCACAAACAGTGAGCGTAGTTATGATAACATAATTCTCTGCATGATCTTTAATGTTCTAATGAAAATATTTTTAAAAAATCTGCAGAGGAAAAAGCTGTACAAATCATTGCTCAGTGGTGGGAGGTAAGCATGACCATGAAGTGAGTTTCATTGCAAAGCTAAGTTTCATTAGCACGATGCCGCAGAGGATGGAAGTTAGCAAAAACAGTTCCTTTCTGGGAGTGGCCTTGCTATATTAGGCCTTGGTCTAATTGAATAACCTGCATTTAAACCAGGTTTGTATGTCTTGGTCATCCACAGGTATTTTCTATAATCATTTACACTTATTCTATATTCATTGAATTACTAATTGGCAGTTATAAAGATAGGATTAAGTAAAATTATTTGAGAGTAATAATTCCAAAGTTTTTTTTTAAATGTAAAAGTATGATCAAGGCATATTGAAAGATATGGGAGCTCAAATCTAGGAATATGCAAAATGCAGCATTCAAAGGTAGGCCATTTTCTCCATGAATGCATATATCCAGCCATCCTGAGGATGGTTCATAATTTTCTGGAAGTAAATCTGGAATAGTAAGTGGTTTGTGGTGTGCTAGGGATGATCTGATGCTGAAAGAGGAACATTATGAGTTATACTGGGATTTGCATATAGTATTCAGCAGTCAGATGACATTTCAAAGTGAGAAACATTGAATTGAAAATTTGATGGCAAAGCCATTTGGTGTTTAGGAAGTGGCTGCTAAAGCAGGGGAGGGTTTTTTTTCCCCCTGTTCCCTGAACTCCCATATATCAGAACAGGCAGGCTTTTCAGTTAATATCAGCTTAGCAACAATTTAAGTCCTTCCCTTTTCAGTTATTTGTTGAAATAGTTTTCTGGTTTCTAACCCACTCCCCTTCCTTTCTTAAAACATACCAGCCATGGAGAAAAGTAGCCCACTGTTGTCAGGAAGCTTTGTATCTCCTTTAGATTGCAGTGACCTCATCGCTGACTTCACAATGCCAAGGGTTCAGCTAACAGTTTTCTGTGCTAGCTGAGCATCTGACTTCAAAGCCCGCAATTCTGTGCTGCATAAGTGAGATAATACATTTCAAGGTATTTACTTGTAGAAGGGCTGCGCAGCGCTTCAGATTAAAAGGGATAGAGATACTTCAGAGCATGCGTAGCATCTTTTGCTAACTCCTTAAACCAAATGTGTCTTTTCCTGGAATTGCATTGTAGCTGCAGGGAACAGCCATCCAATCCCAGGAGATGACACAACTACTTTAATCAGTTGCCAACAGATGCAATAAGAATGGCCCATATGCTTCAGAACACCTTTTTCCTTCAAATCCAAAGAGCTAGCCAGTCTTAATTGGCAATAACTACCACCTAATGGGCCTTTGCTGCACAAAATCTTTACATGCAGATCTAAAGATATTTTTAAAAAAGCAATTTAATTACAATGAAATTTGCTAGAGGTAATATTGTGGTGAGGAAAGGACAGCAGCTCCTCCTGCTTAATATGAACAAGGAGAAGATTAACTATGGTGGGTGCCTACATGTATACAATGCTCAAAGCAGTTTTATGCTTCTTTTTTTAAAAAAAATCTCCTTTCATAATGTTCAGCATGAAAGTGTATATGTCCATATAACTCATGCAAATGTGTGTAAATGTATATGCTTATTTAACATGCTTTTTTACCTCAGGAATCTACATATGTAAAACAAGTTGAGAAGCACAAATCATCCCTTGTGTGAATCACCCAATATAATTCTTGTACTTCAAGAACAAAGCTAAAACAGCTTTATCTTAGATATTATTAGACTAGAGTTCCCATAACACATGACATTTATGCTGATGAGGGGAGATGTAAATTATAATCCAGTATCATCTGGAAATCTAACTGAGAAAAAAAGTTCAACATGTAGCAACTAAAACTTTCCTTTGTTTTCAGTTTTTCCCCCGTCTTAACATGGCTGAAGATAAATGAACAATACTGAGTTAAGAGAAGGCTGCAATATACTATAAATAACTTTAACATTGCAACCCACAGAAATTTAATTAGACTGCCAAATTCAAAGGCTAAAAATCAGTCTGTTGACAGAATGTCGTGCTACTGTAGCAATGATTTCAAATTGATTTTCCATTTGATGTGTACAGATTGTGGCCAACCCCACCGTGAAATGAGAATGAATCCAAAGGCCATCACTGCACCTCAGATGTTTGGACGCCTTGATGTTGCAACCAATGACTGGACAGATGGGATATTCTCTACACTTTGGAGGAAAACTTTGAGAGCCAAGAAAGGTACTGTAATAAACTCTTAACTGCTGGAGTTATATTTGATTCTTCCTTTCATAGGGAAAATGACTTTTACATCAATGTTCTGCAACGCATCCTAAAATCCAGTTGTTCCCCTCATTCCTCCTATTTGTTATAACACTAATTGAGCCACTCTTCAGCATCCTAGCAGAGTCTGAAAGTTGAAGAGGCTCTTGGGGGCATATTAGGGATAAGAAGGAGACATTGCAATAGCAGATAGGTTTGATTTGGAGCAAAGGTTACCAACTTCGGGTCCCCAGATGTTACTGCAAATATAGTCATGTCATATAGTTGGTAATGCTGGCTGAGAATGCTAGAAATTGTACTTAAAAGCCATCAGCAGACCACATAGCTGGGAGTTACTGTGAGGAGAATGAGCTGGTGATCTGGAAGGTACACCTCTACTCCAGCTGGTTGCGTATTTATCTGATTAGTACAATAATGTGAGCCTCTTTCTTTAGATTCCTGAATAGTCAGTAAATTTGCAGATGAGAAATAGATACAATAATACCTCGGTTCACGAACGCTTCTGTTCACAAACAATTCGGTTCGTGAACAGCAGCGTTCACAAAATTTTGCTTCCGTTCGTGAACTCCGCATCGGGTGATGAACACGACCCACGGCCATCTTCCCTGCTCTGACACGTGGTCGTGGCTTCCTCTAGGCGAGATCGCGGTTGCAGACAGACACTTGCTGTGAAGCCTCAAGCAAGGTTAGTGTTCTCTCTCTTCATACTGTACTGTTTCATATTTTTGTGGTTAGAAAAAAATACATATGGTTCAGATCGGATTAACCTTATTTACATTGAACCTTATGGGGAAATTTGATTTGGTTTGCGATCAATTCGGTTCGCGACCAGAATTGTGGAACAAATTAAGTTCGTGAACTGAGGTACCACTGTACATTCTTTTGTTCATGGATAAGCCCCAGTCTTTGTAGCAAGGCTGGGCAACCTTTTCAGCCCCACAAGCTACAAGCAACATTGACTAGCATCCTTAGGCTGATCACTAGGTGCGGATGCTTTTTGTCCTCCTCATTTTAGGAAGGAGAGTGCAAGAGAAACAATTCCCATCACAGTTGCTGAATGGCAGCTTTAACAGATGGGGAAAAAGAATATGAGGATGACTTTTTATTGCTCAGGCCTCGCATGTCAAGGGCTTTACATGTAAAATAAAAATGTCAAGTATCTTGTAAGTAATGTTTCCCCAGCATATTACTTGCTTTGAGAAATCTATTACTATTAAATAGACTCTATTACTGTTAAATAGAATATTCATTTTGTGCTTTTGAGAATTGCTGGGGAGAACCAAAGAAAGAAATGATTTAAACGAGGCTTTTCTGCAGCTCTCTGCATAGCATCACAATAATCATGTGAAGTAGTTTAAGTGGTAACTTGTCTAAGATCATCCATTGATCTTCAGAGCTGCTTGAGAAATTGACTGTAAATATCACACTGCAAATTACTCTATGTTGTCTGTATTTCTTAGTCATATTTATATCTGTTCTATGGTGCAGGAAAATAGTTAAATCACAAAATAATCTCTTTACAAGAAATGCTTTTTTTCTCCCTTTGGGTATAGGGGAACACATCTGGATAGTACTCGATGGTCCTGTTGATGCCATTTGGATTGAAAATCTGAATTCAGTGCTTGATGATAACAAAACATTGACCCTAGCTAATGGAGATCGGATCCCTATGGCACCAAATTGTAAAATTGTTTTTGAGCCTCATAATATTGACAATGCTTCTCCTGCAACAGTGTCAAGGAATGGCATGGTATTTATGAGCTCATCTGTTCTCAGCTGGAGCCCTGTTCTTGAGGTATAATTGCTTTCATGAGTTCAAACTCTTTGTGTCATGGATTGCCTTCAGATTGTTAAAAACTAGTTTATGAATGCAATTATAGTATAGTCTGTAACATACCCTGAATATACATTTATTAGACAGCTAAATCTAATAGCTGAATAGCTGAATAAATGCATAAATCTATACATTTGCCTCCATAGGTACAGTATTACTTTTAGTGGTTTAGCTGCCAAGTATCAAAAATCTCGACTACTAACAATCTTCATATTTACAGCCATAATATTCTAAACCTTAGTGAAGTCATTATCAACTCTGATACAAGATTCTTTTATAGGAATATGATTACCATATCAATACTTTGGTGACCTCCGTGGTGAATTACTGTAACATGATATACAATTGATTATCCTTAAACTATCAGGAAGGTTTAACTATGAAAAATGAAGCTGTTTACAACTTTGCAGGTGTAGGATTCTTGGGTTTGTTGTGTCCCTCAATTCAAAGTACTAATGATTATTTTGAAGTCTTAAAAGGTTTGTGTTCCATATCACTTTTGACGTGCGGTCCAGTACATTGTAATATCATCTTTCATGTCTTTCATCTGTCCTGTCAGAGTTTGGAAGCAGCAAAAGCATAAACAGTCCAGGATCAAAGTCCATAAAAAGAATTCCCAGCCATAAAGTCCCAAAGGAAACACAAAGAATTGTAGCAGTAGGTTGGTTCAAAAGTCAAACACCAAACCAGTCCAAGCTCTAGGTAACGTTCCAGAGAGCAAAGATGAGAGAACATAAGTTGAGGTCCAGGCAGCCAAGAGGTGGTACATCTGAATGGCTCATCAGCCAAGCAGGCAGGCAGAGTTCAGGTTGCACATGCTGTTTCCAGCAGTGAGCTACTCTCAAGCAGATTGCTTTATATTGGAGGTACAACTAGCCCACGCTCGTTCAACTAATGTTCACTGAACCTGATCTGGCTGCAGGATCAACTAGGTATGTTGGGCTTCTCTTACACAAACTTTCATTTCCCAGATGCTTTCCATTGCAAATGAACACTTCAGCACTCCTCTATCTTCTGATTGTCAGTTTGGTGCCAATGTCTTTTACTGGAAGAGTGACTGTACTAATGAGGTTAGATCAGGTTCCTGAGCTACTGGGAACTCATTTTACCGAAGGTCTGACATTCAGCCTGGCTCAATTATTGCGGAGAGCTCAGCAGGATCATCTGACCATTTTCCTCTGAGTTGCTGTCTTCAGATGAGGCTATGTTAGTATCCCTGAAGCCCATTAAAGAGTTCAGGTGGCATGCAAAATATTATCTCATGTTAACTCCCTCTACATATCAGCTATGTGTATGGAAGGTTAATACATTGGGAAGGAGCATGCTTTCCGCTCCCTTGTGTCATAAACATATAGTTCCATTTTCCTATGTTTTACACATATTTTTGAAAATTGTACTATGTAGTTATCGTATAATTGGAAGGCCTTCTGAAAAGGAGTAACATTCACTACAGTGTGCCTCTAATACGCCTTGCTTCACTTTCTATTTTATTCCTGTATATGGCTAATATGTGACTACAGCTCTGTCTTCACCAAATTAGTCTAAGAAAGGTTATAAGATGAGAGGCAGGAATGTTCAACAAGCCTGTCCATTGATTTCCATAGTTGAAAAGGAATTGAATGTAGGCTTTTTTAATCTTTCTCCATGATTTAATGAGGTATTTACCCAAGTTGGTGTTTACAAATGAGCTGAACTCTAAAATCCTTTAGTGCCAAAATTGTAGAAATTGTCATTAGTACACACTCTGCCCCTCCAACAGGAGATGAAACTACATTATTCAGAGCAGCATGGCAATCTAATCAGCTAACACATGGAGGAAGGCCTTGTTACACATTTTTTCACCAGCAGATCTGGGTGGTGGGAGCAGAAATAGTTGCGCATAGGTTGTGGTAAAGGAGGGTATTGACTTATTGGAATGAGTAACATGATAAATGACTGAACACAGGAGGAATGGGGAAGGAGGAAAAGAAGGTGATAGGGACAACTGCAAATCAGTTTGGAAGGTAAAGACGTTAAGAAAAGCCAAGAGAACAGAGGAGAGATGACTCTTGTGGCAAGTACGAGGGAGAAAGGAGACAGCTAAATGAGTGTAAAGATCAGGCCATGAAGCAGTAAATTTTCCTACGGCATTGACAGACATCTAGAATTATGCTTCATCAATCTTAGCCAGCCAGGAGATGGAGTCTCTGACAATCCATAGGAATTGGTTTCTACCCAAAAAACATGAGGGGCATATTAACTATAAATTTGCCTTTATCCACAGAAGTAGTCTGATAGCTTCTCTGACAAAAACGAAGTTGCTAAAAGTTTAAACTTAACCATATAGGACAATTTTCTATACCTTGGCTGCATTGTGACTAGATGACTGGAATGTGCAGAAGTTTTTAATTTTTTTAGCTGCTTTTAGGACCTCTTTTAGTAGAAAAAGACTACAAAATCAATATATAATAACTCAAGAACACAACAATTCAGAAATTCAGTTAGTGCTGTAATGGAGTCAGAATGAGAGAAATATCTCTATCATATTTTACATGGACTTTGTAAAAGTGACTAGACAACCTCTTGCCTGTTCTGAAACTTTTGTTCAGTTGATTCATTTACTGTGTTCCGACTTACGTTCACAATGACATTTTCAAGTACTGAAATCTGTTTTCCAACATAACATTTGTGTTTGTTATGCTATCCCTCATTGTCATATTATCAACTGAGAAGCAGATAGGATAAAACATTTGCCTCAAATATAGACAAATATCCTCTTGCCCAAACAAAATGTTTTGGTGAAAAATTGTAATTTCTTCCAGAAAATAAAAAATTGGAGGGTTGAAATTGAACTCTAGTTTCTTGAGCTTGCAAATTTGGACCATAATTTGAAAAGTCTCATGGTGATTTGGTTTTGATTATAACAGGGTTTTCTGAAGAAGCGTTCTCCGCAGGAAGCAGAGATTTTGCGTCAGCTATATACAACCTCCTTCCCGGACCTTTACCGGTTTAGTATTCAGTCTTTGGAATACAAGATTGAGATGCTAGAAGCGTTTGTGATAATGCAGAGTATTAATACTTCAGGGTCTTATTCCCTGCAAGGTAACTCATTTATGTTGTTGAGACAGATTGACAGATTGATGATGATGGTGATGGTGACGGTGATTCATTCAATGACTATCACAGTCTTTAGACTGGGTATTTTCCAGTGATTCTGGTTCTAATCAAGAGCGTAGGAATCATGGAAGTATCATAGTATGAAGCAGGTCTATGCAAGATATATATATATATTTTTGCAAAGTCAGTGACGTCAAGTCAAGTCAATATGAAACCTCCAAATATTTGGTGAATCCCTTTGTATGGCTCCAAGAGCTCCAAATACTGGTTGACGTTTTCTTTCAAAGTATTTCTGTTTCAGTTTACAAATCCCAATATGTTGTTATTTTTTCCATTTGGTTTTCATCAGTTCACCAATCTCCTATATCTTTAGACTGGATATTTTCTGTTCTATGAACCATGCTTTTTCTTTTCAATAATAGTGTGTGTCGTGACTGGTATTTTTTAACATAAATTCCAATGCATGATTTTTGCAATTTTGTCATGGCATTGCTTATACTCAGTTCGGACAATTTTGGTACAGTCACTAATGAGGGATCTACAATTTAATCTTTGATATTATATACAGGTAGTCCTTTTTAGTGACTGCAATAAGTTCTGGTGAAATGCTCGTTAAGTGACATGGTCACATGACACAGAGAGAGAGAGAGAGACACTGCAAAGATCACTGGTTGCTGCCATTTCATTCAGATAAAGATTTCTCATACAGCATCCAGTGCCTGACCCATATTTTCCTTTTTTTTTTTTTTTTGCCCTCTTGCAGGGTGGATAGATTGCTTAAACAAGCTATCTCTTCCTGAGCTGCTTTTCTCTGTGCAAGGCATCCCTAAAAAGTGCTAACTGCATGTTAATAAACTCAGCTCTGTGACCTTTATTAGTTGATTAGAATCCTGCAGCCAGCTCCCAGATGATGCCTGAAGCTGACCAGACCTTAATCAGTTTCACACTGATGGTGTTTTGTTATGATAAATGTACTCCTTGGTTGGAAAATGAATTTATTACTGTTTATTACTGTCATATTTGCAGTCACTATCCAAGGCAGTTGCTAAGCAAGAACTACCTATAGTTGGTATTTCCTATCATTTGAACTAAGTTCAATTTTGGCTTTGAGGATGTTTGTTTTCATAGCCTGTTCTTATGCTGCCATGATTGTTCCTTCAGTTTTTTTTTTTAAATTCCAGTTTTCAATCATTGCCAAGACTTTTTTTTAATCTTTCTTTTAGCATTACACACACACACACACACACACCATTAAGAGATTCAGTTTTCCAGCTGCTTCTTTTTTATAGCCTTCTTTTGATTTTGTAGTCTTCAGTAGTTTTTCTTTACAAATTTCTACCAGTAGACATTACTTACTGTGCCTGTTACAATAATTCATGTAGTGTTTTCTTCTTTTAGTGTTTGCTTTACTTGGAGTAAATCTCTCCCACTGACATAATAGAGTTTGTCAACATTGCTTCTTGGGTGAAAAGCATGATTCATGGTCATTAATTTTCTTGTTTCCCTATGAAGTATTTCTAATTCTTGTTTAGCTTGTGCCTAATCAATTATACCTGTAGTATATTGAATAATTGGAACAGCCCAAGTGTTTATGGCTTTAATTATGATCTCTGCATTTAATTTTGTTCTCGAAATGTTTCTGATTAGTTTTCTATAATTAGAGCCAGTATTCTTTTTAAGTGGCTCATGTTATAAGTCAAATGTTTCCATTAATCCTTGGTATTTGTATCCTTCTTGTGGCACCAGTTTTTTTTATTGTTGTTATTAATTGAAATCAACCAACTGCAGGATGAAGACCCCTTCATTGAAGGCTATGGACTGTAATACATTTTTCTGTTTGGATTTGTGGTTGGGTGATTTTTGATTTCCCAGTCTAGGGCTGAGAGTGAGTGATTGGTCCAAAGTGACCAGCTAGGCTTCCATGTCTTAGAGAGGACTAGCTCCTGGGGCTTCCTATATCTAGTCCAGCATATTAACGAACACACCACGCTGGTTCTTAGACAGCTAACTGACAGACAGACAGCTAACTGACATGTTTTAACCAACATCACACACATGGCTATATCTGGGATGTGCCACAGCAATGTATATTAAAAGTAATATGCTGGATTGCATGAAGTAATATGCTTAGTTGATTGCTGGCATTGAATCAGTTATCTCATTATATTCAGTCTGCATGCATAACAAAACAGAGTTATATTCTTTGGCCAAGTTTGGGATTAAAAGGAGGGAGATGTCATTAGATGTAGAATATCTACAGTATCAGAATGTTTTTGCTCACTATTGTATGGCAAGGAATTCTTCCACTCAGCATTAAAAATCATAGTAACGCAGGCATCTTCAAAATCATACCAGGTTATCACATGAAATCTCCTTATCTAGCTAATGCAGCGTTAATGCCTGATGGAATTCATGACACTGCATTCATCAATTACCTTTGCTCTCATCAACATAAAGCCTGTCACTGGACTCATGATTATGAGAATCCATTGCTGCATTGTGTTAGCATACGGTTGTATGAGGAAGCCTGCAGTCCACTTTTTTTTCCAGAATAATGAACATCTGGTCTTGTGGAATAGTTGCATGGACTGCATGAGTGACTTAAGAGTTACTTCATGCATAATTACATTACTGGAATATCTTCTAAGAACATTGGTGTTGAATGGGGGAAAGTAATTGCAGATCCATTTATATCTATGACTTGATATTTTTATTTCAAGACGCTAAATAAGGCAGCTCCTTATTAAGAAGAAAGTCAGAGGGTGGAAATTTTGCTGAGCTAATTGTAGATAATTGCTTGCCTTTACATACTATTGTTCTAAACCCACTCTTCTGCATCATTACCAAGGGTCCTATATAATGGATCTTCTGTCTAAATCATAGGTTTTAAGATGGTGTTAGAAAAAACCGTTCCCAAAAATGTGACAGTTTTGGACTCTGTTTTCAGGCCCCTGAAATAATTACGATCAATTAAATAAGACAGTGTGACTGTTCAAAATATGCCACAAAAATGATTTCTGACGTACTGCAATACATAAGATACAAAGTATTTAAGTTACTTGAGTTTCTAAATCTAAACAAAACACAGATCCAGTAAAAGGAACACTTTTACTGGATAATTACGTATAATTCAAATTATACGTAATTTGACCACCTTTGATATTATTGTTAATGGATATTATTTTATCCTTTTTAACCATGGTTGGTAGTTAAAATTCTCTGGAATATGATAACATTTATAGTTCACAAGAACTGCCTAACTACAGGTAGTCCTTATTTAGCAACCACAGTTGGGACTGGCAACTCAGTTGTTAAGCAAAGTGGTTGCTAAGTGAAACCACCACTGTGCTTATGATCTTTCTTCAACTTTCGTTTGCTTTACAGACGTGCAAAGGTCATAAATGCAAGGAATGGTCATAAAGTTACTTTTTCATCACCGTTGTAACTGTGAACAGTTGCTAAATGAGGCAGTTGCTAAATAAAGACTATCTGTATATTTTCTGAAAGAAAGCTGTTCAGCAGTCTTTATTGGAACAAATTTGTCTGCAGTGTGAACAGAAGAGACTGTTTTCTGGGGTTGTTATATATGATCTTGTACCCCAGTTGTACCTGTTCCTAGATCAGGAGTCATTGCTCTTGGTTATTCATGCCTTAGTCACCTCCTGTTTGGACTATTGCAACATGCTGTACATCATGCTGTCCTTCAAGAGCATTCAGAAGCTTCAGCTGGTCCAGAATGCAACAGCACATGCACTATTGGGCTCACTATGACATGCCAGTTAACACCACTGCTTTGTGAGCTGCACCAGCTCCCAGTAGGTTCAATTCAAGGTGCTAGTTGTCACCTTTAAAGGTCTACATGACATGGAACTAGGTTACTTGTGAGAATGCCTCTCCCTGATGGCTTCTGACCATCACATCAGATTGGGCATGCATCAACACCAATCAGGAAAGCAGTATTACTTGGTGGGTCCCTGGAAGTGTGCATTCTCTGTCATAGCACCTGTCTTGTGGAATATAGACAGTCCCAACCCTGCTGGCCTGTCAGGAGGCCATGAAGGCCTGGCTATTTCCGGAGGCGGTGAGGCCAAGGTGTTAATGGAGCTCTGATGTGGATGTGGGTATATCTGTTATGTTGCTGTTGAGATTTTTTATGGGCCTCAACTTGTTTTTTTTTAATAGATTGTGACTTTGGTTTTGTTTTTATCTTTATTTGCACCCCCCCCCCAGTGCCTTTGGTAGATGGGTGGTCATATAAATATACCAAATAAATAAAAATAAATAAACATGAAAGGAGAATACCTCTTGAATAGTTCTGTTTTTCCAATAGTAAAGTCTCTGACCTGGCTTTACTACTTGCATTCAGAACTAAACTTAAGAACAGCTCTAGTTTACTACTGGCACTGAAACCAATAACCATATAGATAATACAATCAGTATTACTCAGATACATAAGCACAAGAATAGCTTTACATTACAGTAGTTATTCAGTTCAATGGGCAGGAATGCAGTGTCCAGAGTTTTGTCTGGCATCAGCCTTGTCTACCCAACAGTTTCCTTAAATGGGCAATGCATTTCCAAATACACAGTACATATTTACAGCAGTCCCACTTTTCCAACTCTCCCTTGCTGCCTTGCAAAACCCTCCCTCCTGGCCCCTCCTTCTGTGCTGGCTCATCCAAACCCATTTGCTTCATCTTCAGCTTTGCCAGTCACAATCCAATTCAATTCCAACCCTTCCTCCCCCCCCCCCAACAGGGTTGTCTTCTTCCTCTTGCCCTCAGTTTGTTTCCCTAGCCACTATCCATTGAGCACTCCGCACTGCTAACTTGGGAGCCTCAGTCCAATATCTTGCATTCCTCAAGTTGTGTCGTTGTAACTTCAAGGCGCAATTTCAGCAAGATTAGGAGAAAAGTTTCATGCTTTCTCTCTTTTACCTTTTATTCATGAGGAGTCTTTCTGACTTACCCTTGTAAGCTTTGTCCCTTATCGCTATTTCCTCTTGAGCAGTCTTTCTGTCTCTAAAGTTCTGGACATTTGCTTTTCTTCTTTTTCTACCCATTGCTAACTTTTACTTTGTCTGTCAACCTGGTTTCTGTCTAGTGGAATCTTCCTCTTCCAAACACTTTGCACCCACAGCTCCCAAGCGTTTATGCCTTTGTTTCTTCCCCGCAACTCTTTGGGAGACCTTCCTGCTCTTTCCTTCCTTATCTGTTTGATAAGAAATCCATTATTTCTAGATAGTGATTTGATTTTCAGAGTTTTCAAACTTTATCTGTGTAGAGTTTGGCTGCCCCTCCCCACCATCCCCATGCAAGAATTAGGCCTTTGGGAGAAAGATTGTACAGGAATCATGAAATATATTTTAGACCTAGCTCTGGAATAATAATATTTTGGTTCATGGACTTCTGGAGGAAGAAATGGTGGACTGAAGATGGCTCCAAAAAGCAGAGCTGACCATGGCAGGATGAAGAGCTGGTGAATAGACTGGCTTTTTAATAATTCCTCTCCAGACAAGGAGAGGACTTGATATCTCACACAGGTACTCCAGACAGTTGCTCCTCACAAGGAACTGCAAGACAGCAGTCTCTGGTGGGTTTAGAGCTCTGGGAGACGACAGAATAGCCATCTTCTCAAACGTCTTTGAAAGGACACTAAGTTCTCATACTTTCTTTTCTAATCACTTTCGGAAATTGCTGGTTAACTGCTTTTCAGTTATTAGGAACCCTTGGTTTGACAAGTCTGACAGCACTGGGTGAGTTTTCTTCAATCCTTAGCAAAAGAAAGTTTTAACTACAAGTTTAAGAACTTTTTTTTTTTTTTAATAAACAGCAAAAGGATGATTAAAACTTTGATTTTAGAAAGTTACAAATGGACTGAGGGTCCAGATAAATTTGAAATAAGATTTTGGAATTAATTATAAAGAATCCTTCCCATGGGAAAATGCTTTTGTTTTGATTTTTTTTTTTTTAAATAAGATTTTAAAAATTGGAAACTAGAAGGAACTAAAAATTGCAATTAAAGGAGAAGAACACATAAATTCAACTTACAGTTACAAAATGAAGCAAAGTATTCTAACATTGGACAAATTGAAGGATATTTTTGAACAATGGACTCAGAAGTTAATTTTAATAGTGTTATCTGCCTCTATGGAGAGACTGTCTAAAAGATCTTATGGAAGAGGAACAAGTTCTACCTGACAAGACTGAGAGTGAGTTGGAGGTGCATTTACAATGGACAGGCTACAAGAATGACATGGAAAAAAATGTTACACTGGACAGACAAAAGAAACCAGCTGATGTCTTAATAATTAAAAGGGATATACATTTAATAAACCAAGAGAGTAACCTGGATAATTTTCCTTCAACAAGCCAAAAGAGGCTTGTTAATGTTTTGAAGAATCTTGTGAGAAGGAACTGTGGCTCAATCTTGTCTATTATTCAGTGAAAGTTGTCTAGTGCTGACAAATGTACCAGCTGTCCAATCTTGTTAGATTTGTTATATTTGTCAGATATTGCCTGATACAGATTCCAGAGTTCAAATATTTTTTACTGCTAGTACAATCTCTCCCAAGAATATTTCAGTTCTTAGCTATTTTGTGAGACAAGAGCAAAAGATTGAGAGTTTCTACAGATCCTTGAAAATTTATGTTTTCAAAATGTTTCTGAATTCTAAACAGTTAAATCATTGTGTATTACTTAGGACCAAGGAGTAGAAATCACAGCAGAGTACCTGGAAAGATTGTACATCTTCTCCCTGATGTGGAGTGTTGGAGCAATGCTGGAATTGGAAGACCGTTGGAAGATGGAGCACTGGCTTCGTAGTAATGAAACTATAAATCTTGATCTTCCTAATATCCCAGAAGGAAGTGAAGACACTATGTTTGACTACTATGTTACCAGTGATGGTTTGTAAATTCTCAAAAAGTTGCTGTTCCTTATTTTCAAAAAGATTAGACTATATAATACAGCTAGATCACACCCTGTAATTTGAGATCTTCTACCACACTTTATTCAATGATGACTTCATCTCTCTTATACTGAGGAGACCAGCATTTAAAACAACTACTGTATAACTCTGTTCAGTTATTCTGAACATGTAGAAGCTATATGAAAGGAGCAGTAGAGGTTATATGCTAATTCTTCCTATCTTCTTCATAACCTACTTATAGAAAATACATATGATGTCTAAAACTATGGTACAAGGAGAGTGTCCACAGATAAAGTGTCCAGTGTTAATAGTCCTCTGCACTGAGATGTGTTGGGAGTGTTGAATGAGGTACAGGGGAAGTTAATGTAATTACCTCCCTCTCTACAGTACATGTAAAACTTAACATATTCTATGTAAGCCAACTTCAATCATTTTAAGTTCGATTTCACTTGCCCTGATTTTTGCTAAGTTATTTCTAAATTCGTGAGATATAAGACATCTTTGACCTACTGTTGGGCAAACTGTAGGGATATATTTCCTAGTTTTTTGTTTTTATAATAAACCGAGTTTCCACAGCTGACCCGTACTGGCTAGATAGAAAAAAAATACATCCAGAAATCCAGGATTCTGACAGTAGTGGCAGTATAGCATCTCAGGCAGCAGTCAGAAGGAATGGCTAGACTTTCCCAATCTCTGGGAGTAATGCTTTGTCTGTGCTGCCTTCTGATTGGAGCAAAAAGGAAGAGAGTGGCAAGCATATACAGGTAGTCCTCGACTTATGGCCATTCATTTAGCAACCATTTGAAATTACGGCAGCGCTGAACAAAGGGACTTACGACCGGTTCCCGAAATTATGGCCATTGCAACACCCCCGTGGTCACATGATCAAAATTTCGGCACTTGGCCCGCCTGCACTTATGACCACAGGGGCACCTCAACTCCCCCCACCTATGCCCTTTTAGCTCCCTGCTGCCCTGTGCTCCGGTGCCCCAGCTGACCTTCGCCGTCTTCTTGCTCATGCTGCTGACAAGGTGTGCCTGGCCTGGCTCTTTGCAAGACAGCTGCTGCCCATGTGAGGCTTTCTTCCCCAGGTCACACGTGGCAGTTTCCTCATGAGACCTAGGGAAGATGACCTCATGTGGCCAGCAGCTGCCTTGCAAAAAGCCAGAGTTGCGGGGTGCCAAAAAGCCCCTTTATGCTGTGCTCCTGGGCTTTGCGCAGAGGGGCTTTTTGGTGTACCATGACTCTGAGGATGCAAAAAGCAAACCCTGAGCCACAGTGCAGCATGAAGCCCAGCTCAGCAGTATGGTGCACAGGGGCTTTGTGGTGCGCCACAGCTCTGGGGCTGCAATCCAGTGCAAAGCCCTCCCCCATCCTGGCCCAGCAGCCAGGCCGGGCATGCCTCATCACAGTGGGAGCAAGAAGATGGCAAAGTGGGAGCAAGGTCAGCTGGGGTAGCAGAGTGCAGTGCAGCAGGGGTCTTGGAGTGCAGGGTGGCAAGGGTGACAATGGCTGGGACTGGGCTGTGGCGGCTGTGGCCTCCTGGGGCCTGGCAAGCAGCCCTAGAGCTGTGCAATTCTGGGGCTGCTTGCCGCCCCACAAGGCAGGATGCAGGGTGGCCAAAAGTGCAGAGATGGGGGGGGATAGGTGGGGGGAGTTGGAGGCAGTCCCTTACCTTACTGAGGCTCAAGGCTGGGAGGAAGCAAGCCTGGAATGGCTTGGATTGGGGTAGACCCTCAGCTAACTACTGGCAGAATTCGCTTAACAACTGCAAAGGGGAGTGCCAGGATTGCAATCACTAAGTGATGCAGTCACATGACATCTTGCTTTACAACCGCATTGCTTGGTGAAGGAAATTCTGGTCCTAGTTGTGACTGTAAATTGAGGACTACCTATAAATAGAGATGCTGTTTCCTGTGAGGCATCAGAAGTCACAGTTTATGGTTTGAGTGATAACGGCTGCTGTTTTGATTTGTTTTACATGAGAGAGAAAGAGAGAGAGGTCATTTAAATACACTTTTGCTTAAGTGGCAAAAACATATGATTTCACAGCTAATAGTGGTTTGTAAATGAAGAGATTTGTGATTGTAAAATGCTACTTCAAGTGCAGTTAGCTATGATGGGAAGGACCAGAGCAACCGCAACTGATTTAATGAACCATGCTCATTAAATGTTGCTTTGTTTCATATTTCACTCTGGCAGAGGAGCCAAATGAATACACTGCACAACCTGTTCTGCATTATATAAACAATTAGTTATCCAGACTACCTCTTTCTAAATCTGAAATATGGTAACTCTGCCAACCTGTGCCATGCCTTTTCTTCATTGCCTCTGAATTGCTTTACAACTTGGCTATTTTTTAAATTGACTAAACTGGCATTAGGTTTTTCTTCTATGCTTGTGTTGATTTAACTGAGGAAAATGTTCAAAAATTCTGTCAAGTTAATTCTTAATTGTCTTCTTATGAGCTAATTAAATATAGGCACAATATGTTAGTTAAATACCAGACATGTTGAAGAAAATTCTATTTATATTTTATGCAATTCTTTTCTTTTCTTTTTTAGTTAATATTTGGTTATGTTATTTTGTTCCATCACATTAACCATTTTGATAGGGCTTATTATGGACAAAGATGGTGCTTTGACGTGGTTGCATTTCCATTCTGTTTTGAGTAGCTATTAGACATAAAAACCACAAAAAACCTGCTTTAACTCAAAGTTCAGATTGCTATGAAATTACTAGAATTTTTTTTTTTCTGGCTAGGTAAATGGATGCACTGGAATACCTGTGTTGAAGAATATGTGTATCCTACCAACAGCACTCCAGAATATGGCTCTATTTTGGTGCCAAATGTTGACAATGTGAGGACTGATTTCCTTATCCATACAATCGCAAAACAAGGCAAGGTAATATTCTTCTGTCCTATACTGGGATGTTAGCATTAAGGCATTGGAGACAGCAACTTCATTTTAAAACAATTCTGAAATTACTATTAGATTGCTCATTGTCCTTATGGACTGGGTAGGGATGAAATGTCTACAGCCACAAAGAAATCTTTGAAACTCACTAGAGATTTGAATGTGGGTTATTTCCACTCAATGCAACTTTTCTGAACTATCCTATTTGCTCTTTTGAAGCTCACTCTAATCCATCATTTAACCTTCAGGATGCTGCGTTTTCTGTTTTTTGCCTTTAATTTTTAAAATTTTGCACAGACTATCCTGATGGTCTTGCTTCATTCCAGGATCAGAATGGTTCTACCAGTAAGAATGTGTAAACCTTCAATCCTTCATTCACCGTTTTTGTATGAAGAAATTAATGAATTGTTGGTTCATCAAGTCACAAAACCTATTTTTGGGTTACAATATAAATACTGTTGGTAGAACTAACTTCATTTTGGTTATGGATAAACCAGTCATGCGGCAAAGAGTGATCTATTTCTTCATTATTTGAAATGATTTTGAGATCTGAGCCTTTACTACTACCTTTGACTCTCATATCCCTAAACTCATTTGAATTCTTTTCTCATCTTCAGGCTGTTCTGCTAATTGGTGAACAAGGGACTGCTAAGACTGTCATCATCAAAGGTTACATGTCAAAATATAACCCTGAAAATCACATGGCTAAGAGCCTTAACTTTTCATCAGCAACAACTCCTTTAATGTTTCAGGTGAAACTTAGCATATTCTTTTTTCCCCACAAAAATAGAAGTAACTTTGTAACTCATTGAAAATACACCAGAATGAAATTAATCAAAAACATTTGATTAAGTAGTAAATATCCAAATGTTCATGGTTTGCTATTTACAGTAGTTCTTTTGACTTTAGCAATAAATTAGTCATTCTTTGGAGAAATTGTTTCTTTTTTGTTTGTACCATTTTTATAACCAAATTCCATCTAATTTCTATTTCAAGAAATATGCAGGGTTCCTGATTATTTTCATTTTCTCACACAACTGAGATAAGTTTATTCTCACACTTAACAAAATAAAATCTCAACCAGTTCTCCTTAAAACATGCGCACAAGGAGTAATGAAGTGCAATATATAAAAGCCATTCAAGTTAGACTGAAGTGTTTTGGAGACCATACCTTGGCCAAATCCATAACACAATATTTCCAAATATTATATATTTATACTTATGTCTCCAAAAAATGCACATGCAATACAATTCTGTGTATGTGTACTCTGAAGTGAATCCAATTGACTTGAAGTAGTGATCTCTCGAGTAGTTTTAGGATTGCAGCCTTAGAGTACAATTCTATATATTAATTCCACTAATTCTGCCTTAGATATGTTGGCTGAACATCCAGGCAGTGATAAAATAGAGAAAAGGTGACACAATCATGCCTAGAATGGAATGGCACAGACCTTCGCAAGATACCCCCCATATTGACTTAAATGGAGTGATTTATTTTCTTAGTAAATGTCCTGACACCAATGACCACTCTTCCAAAATCATCAGAAGAGCACAGTGTCTATAGTATAGGTTAGCATCCCTTGACATTGTTTCTGTGCCACTTGAGAGTCATTTATCACTATAGCCTTTTCTGGCAGAAGAGATTTTTTGTTGTGTGTTCCTTTCATCTCTCAGACAGAACAGGTAGTGGCAGTGTCTTTCTCCTCATTCCCTTCATCTTTGGAGTATGGGGTTATTCTGCTCAACCCTTTGTAGCAGGGCTGACTTTTAATATCTGGATTGGCAAGGAATATTTGCATTGTTTATTGGAGTCCCAATATTGAAGGGATTTCGGACTAAGGATGTTAAATTGTATATTACATTTCTTCCTACAGTTGCCTTTGAGTTCCTTTGTTCTAAGCAAACAGTATGCAGAACACACAGCTATTCCTTTAGTGATTATGAGAAGATGCTTACAGTAACTTATTTTATGAATGCATGTGCTTCTTACAGCGCACAATAGAAAGCTATGTGGACAAACGCATGGGCACAACATATGGCCCTCCTGCAGGAAAGAAAATGACTGTCTTCATCGATGATGTGAATATGCCTGTAATCAATGAATGGGGAGACCAGGTCAGCTACTTGCATTAATTCTTTGCATTAGTCAATGAACCATTTAGGCTTGGAGAAATAGTTAAGATCAAGAATACTGTTTTACTCAGATTTGTTAACGTTTGGAAAAAAGTTAAATAATGCACGAGTTCCTTATATGTCAGCAGAGAATAATTTCTGATTTTATTCTGAATGACAAACATCTCAGATGAGCTTTGGCAATTTGCTAAGGCTTAAGAGGTATCACAAAGTGACCCACTGGGATTGGTGTTTGTACCTTTGAGGTAATAGAATACTAGTTATGGGCATTTATAGATATAATTATTCAGTGGGAACTTCTATACCTACCTCTTCACTTGCAAACACTCAGAATAATGTCAGAATGGCTCAAGGTTGACCTTACTTCCTATGCCTGAAACTTTTTATAACTAACCAGTACTGTCTCCAGCTGACCAATAATGGAGAGCATAAATAGACATCCAGCCAGTGCCCTGCCCTAATCCTATCCTTCCTTCATCTTGAAGTTTTGTGTGGCAATTTGAAAAGAAAAACATTTGTGAGGGTAAGCATCCAAGTTGCCTCTCTGCTCAATCTTAGAAGATTGATGTGAAACTATTGTGGCATCATGGCAATTTACCAGCTACAGAGATGGGGAGAGCCAAAGAATAGTTGAGGCAGGAGTTCTGCCAATCAGAAACTGCATCCCTCAAACCCTCAGTTTTATAGCAGGATCATTGGCTTTGTTGCCTAATGAAGACAATAGTAGGCATTTATGAAGATGTAGAGCCAATCCAGGAGGAGTACAAGTGTTGTATGGGCTGTGTTAGCCATAACTCCTTTTTAAAACCAAGTGGATAAATAGTGTACTGTCAAAATATATTCTATAAGAATCAGTGAAAACCAAATAGAGAAAAGTGTTTCATAGCCTAACTTCCTTGATTCATCCAGTATCTCAGGAAAAGTTTTTGGTTATTCCACATTTTATGAAATAAGAGAGGCTGTTCCTCTGCCATTAATGTCCAACATTATGGAACAGCCTCTTTCTGGAAATTACATTGGCCCCCAAGGTGATGGTCTTCAGGATGGTGGTGAAGACCACATTATTCCATAGGGCCTTTAGTAGTTGAGGGCCTTTTGTATATGTGAGACACAGAATGGTGGAATTGTTATTTAAGTGTATGGTTTTGTTATGGATTTAATAGATTGATTAAGTTATTATATTTACTATTGTTTACCATGGATGCCTTCACTAACTGTATTGTTCTAAGTCATTGTGAGTGTGAATGGATTTGGCAGCATACAAATCCAATGATGGATGGATGGATGGAAGGAAGGAAGGAAGGAAGGAAGGAAGGAAGGAAGGAAGGAAGGAAGGGAGGGTTCCAGCAGTAGATAGGTTGGTCATAAATCAGGAAATCCATTTATGGTTCTACTTGGTCATAACACCACATATCAAGCTTTAACCTTTGTCTAGGGCAGTGTTTCTTAAAGTGTGGTCCTAGGACCCCTGGGGGTCCCCCAAGAACTTCTCAGGGTCTGCAAATTCAAAATTATTTGCCAACCTATGTTGAAAAATAATACAATATTAAAATCCCAGCAAACAATCATGAGAAGTGGTCATGGCAACAAAGACATCTATTTTAATTTTTAATATGATAAATATTGATAAATACCATACAAATAGAAGCTTTTTTGGGGTCTTCCATAATTTTTAAAAGTGGGAAGGGTTCTGGGGGAGGTATGATGAACTGAAGATGGCTCTGCGAAAGCGGAGCCAGCGACGTGGCAAAGACCAGTTGAGTAGACCAGTTGAGTAGACCAGTTCCTTGGAACCTCTCTAGATAAGGAGAGGACAGGAGATTGCTCATGTGCTCCAGACAGCTGCTCCTTTGGATGAGACTGCAGGACAGTGGTTTTCCGCAGGTTTGAGTGCCAGGAGACGAAGGGATTAGCATCTTGCTCGCAACTGCAGCGGAGCCTTTTAAAGGACACTAAGTTTGCAACCCTCACTTTCTGATCACTTTCAGAAATTGCCCATTAACTACTTCTAAGCTATTAGAGAACTTTGGACTGACAAGTTTGAAAATGCTGGATGAGTCTTTCTTCAATCTTGAATGAAAGAAAATTTTAATCATAAGCTTAAGAACTTAAAGAATCTGAAATAAATAGCAAAAAGCTAAATAAGATTTTGTTCTTAGAAAGTTATAAATGGACTAAGGGTCCAGATAAAATTGGAATATTGAAACTTTTACAATAAGATTTTGGAATTAACTATAAAGAACAAACAGCTTCTTGTGGGAAACAGATTTTGTTTTAGTTTTTACAAGACAAAACAAAAATAAGCAATTTGATGATTTCAAAAACCAGAACACTAAAGGGGACTAAAGTTTTTAGGTACAGGAAAGATTTACAAACCTGTAAAATGTTGCAAAACATTCTAACAATTAAAATACTGAAGGAGACTTTTGAAGAATGGAATCAGAAAATAGTAGCCACAGTATCAATGGTGTCAGTAATGATGTCTATTTCTATGGATAGACTATGCCCAAAATATGTTATTGAAGAAATGATAGATGTAGAACAAATTTTAGCTGACAAGATAGAGATGTTATTGAAAGTGATTTACAACTGACAAGCCAACAGAATGACTTAGAAAAGGATGTTTCACTGGATCTACAAAAGAAACTAGCTGAGGTTTTAAAATTTAAAGGGAAATAAAAAGATCAAACCAAGAGAGTGACCCGGATAATTTTTTCCTACTGGATTTACAAAAGAGGTTTGTTAAAGTCTTGAAGAACTCTGTGCAATGGGACAAAGAAAAAATGAGGAGAGATAAAATCCTACAACAATATTTGAATGAACTAAAGATTAAGACTATTAGAAGTAAAAGGAAGGAATATAAACTTGGGTTTATTTGATCAAGGTTAAAACAAGATATGTTGTTACCTCTGGCAACCCTTTACAGACTTTCTGCTGACACCAGGACTGAAAAGATGATGTTTTATGGATTTGTTTATGGTATAGATAAGAAATGGGATACGGGATGAAGAGATAAATTTTTGTAACTTTAGAGAGGGTAAAGGGTCACTAAATTTGTTTATACTTGTGATGAAAGTTGGAAGTAACTTTATATATTTCTTTTCTCTTTATTCTAACTTCTCTTTCTCTTTCTCTTTCTCTTTCTCTTTTTTCTTTTTTCTTTTTTCTTGCACTTTTTACTTCTTTCTATTTTCTTTTCTTTCTTGAAGTTTAGTTAGTATTAGATTTTACTATTATAATAAAAATTCTTAATAAAAATTATATATATAAAAAAATTAAAATAAAAGTGGGAAGGGGTCCTGAGAGAAAATTAAGAAACACTGGTCTAGGGTCAGGCAGTAGCAATGGGATTTAGTATTATTGCCAGAAATTCAGTCCAAGAATCAAAACCCCAACAAAAAGTATATTGGAAAGTTCCAAAGGGAAGTTGGTTGCAGTTGTCATATTCGCTCTGGGGACCTAGCATTCACACATGACACATGCCTTAGAGGTAGGCTGCAGTAGAAATTGTCCCAGTGGAGCACTCGTCCTCTGAGATAGGCTTAAATATCCCAACCTTCTTTATTTTCATGGAGATCTAGTTGAAATTCAGCAGTCCAGGTTTATGGGGTCACATTCTGCAAAGCTTCAACTCCCATCAGGTGCCTTCCACTTGGTAGTCCTTCTTGCTATCTTCTGGTTTGCTAAATGCTGCTGCTGGCATTCTTGAGAACTGGATGATCTTGCCTCCAGTTTCAGGTCAGAACCTTTCGTATCAGGGTTAGAAATGGTAAGATCTGCATCTGTTATATCTCTGCTGGAACTGGGGTATTTACCCCTGGTTCTAAATTGCAGGATGCATCAGCATCTTCATCTTCCAAAGAAGAAGATGTGTCCACTTGGGCCCAGACATAGAGATAAAAAAAACTCACTGGGAAAATGATAGGATTATCAGTTAGGAAGGTTGTGGTGCAAAGAAGAGATAGTACAATCCACTGTGTTGTTCTATGGACATAATCTGCTGGATGAATTTAGATGTCTGCAAGAATAGTTGATTGGGTGTTTTTAATTCTAAAACTTTTCTTGTAGGTCACTAATGAGATCGTTAGGCAGTTGATGGAGCAAAATGGATTTTATAATTTGGAGAAGCCTGGAGAGTTCACCAACATTGTCGATATCCAGTTTTTGGCTGCCATGATACATCCTGGTGGTGGACGAAATGACATCCCTCAGAGACTGAAGAGACAGTTTTGTGTGTTTAATTGCACCCTGCCTTCCAACTCATCCATTGACAAGATTTTTGGTAAAGCAGAATGGCTATTTAGTCTTGTTGCTCATTATGAGGCATTTAGTGCTTGTTTTACTTTAAGAAGCTAAGAGAAGCGAAAAATAAGAGTGGAGATGTAAACAAAATCTTATACTATGGGAGCAGATCCACTAAAATTGCAGCATTAAATGGAATGTGCTAATGTCTGTCATTATTTTTAAAACAGTGCCAAAACAAAATAGAAAAACAAAACACCAGAAACACAACTCTATAAAAAGTGTGAACAAAAAGGTTACCTCTGTTAAAATAAAAGAAGGAGTTTACACTGGGAAATCAGCTATTTGGGAAATTTATATTAAAATAAATTTCCCAAGATACTCTATTTTTAACAACATACATTAGTGGAGGTTGCATGAAGAAGTTCAGTGTTTTTTGGAAAAGTTTTATGTGAAAATGGATGCTTTTTTGTATGGAAACGTTAAGAACAATTGGTATAAAACACAGCAATAACAATAGTGGATCCAATATCACCCTACAAATGTGGATAATAAAACTGACTGGATTTTAACTGATCCACATATCTCTACTATATTTTTATGTATGACCCAAAATCCCAAAACAGTTTCCTTGAGATTCTTCCATTTTCCCTCTGTGTCATGTCTAACCTTGATATTAGCTTGTGTGTTCTGGACACATTATGTTTTTCAGGCAATTTTTAAAAAGTGCATTCATTCTCTAGGTATCACAATGTGATATTTTAATTAATTTATTTAAAACATTTCTATACTGCTCTCATTTAGCAAATTTTGATATGATTGGATGACATTGTTTGGTGGTTGTAGGTAAGACGGGGAAGTGGATGGGTTTCTCAAATATCTAACTTGAACTTTCCAGGTGTGATTGGCACAGGGCATTATTGTAGCCAAAGAGGCTTTTTGGAAGAAGTGAGAGCAACAGTTGCTAAGCTGGTCCCATTGACCCGGCGGTTGTGGCAAATGACCAAGATCAAAATGCTGCCAACTCCAGCCAAATTCCATTATGTGTTCAATCTCCGGGACCTTTCCAGGATCTGGCAAGGGATGCTTAATACTATTTCAGAAGTAATCAGTGAATCCAATGTAAGTAACACATATGATATTTTCATGTATTACATGGTTTTGCTATTATCTTTGAAATTCAATTCCCACTTTTTATATTGGATACATGTAGATGATAAACACTATATAGTAAGAACTACTGGGAACAGAATTGTAGACAGCCCCATAAGTCAATAAATAATATTATACTTTAATTGTAAACACTAAGCCTGAATGTATCAGTGCAGACTTCTATGACTCTATGTCACACCAAGATAAAACAGCCCTTAATTAACCAACACTATAAAGAATAATAAGCAGTACAGGTAGTTATGACAGTGCTGAACGAATGGTGATTATGACCGGTCCTCAGAGTTCTGGCCATCCCAGCACCCCTGCTTGGCAATCGGCTCACGCTTACAACTGATTGCAGTGCCCTCCAATTACGGTTGCAACCCCTGTGATTGCAAATGGGGATCATGTGACTTCAGGATGCTGAAGCCATTGTAAGCGTGAGCCGGTTGCCAAGTGCCTAGATCATGATCACATGACCACGGGGGTGCTGGGACAGCCAGACTTTAAGGATCGATTGTACCACTCATTCAGCACTGTTGTAACTTCGAATGGTCACTGAACAAGTAGTCATAACCAAGGACTATTTGTAGAAAGCTTTTATACCTTAGAAGTCATGCCAAACATTATTTAGGGAAGTCATTCATATTTCAGACCTAGAGAGGCACAGAGCAAATAAAATTGTATTTAGTGTCAGGGAGGAGCTTGAGCAAAGACCTGCTCTTAAGATATATTCACAAAGGTATTTGTGGTAGTTAACCACAGCAGGGAATATCAAGAAAACTAAATTGAAATGTAAGGGAGCACACTGTCAACATTTTCTGCTTTTTGTGAAAGGCATTCTGTAAGTGATTTTGGAAAGGAAAGAGGCAAATGTGTTGAATCTTTGTACCACTAAGATCGTGTTCCTCTCTCATCTGTTTACACAGCATACTGAGTATGGTTATGGATTGATTGAATGTATTAATGGATTGATATGATACATTGAAGTGTAAACTAACCAAGTGGGCTGGGTTTGCACAATTCACTAAGCTACAACAAGACTAACCAAGCTTAGCATGCTGAACAAAGACACTTGCTAGATCATTAGTGACCCTTGGTATCATTTCTAACTTAATCCTGAACTGGCCTTGTTATCTCAGCCCCAGAGCAGGTAGTTAGAATATATAACATAAACATACTTTTAGGGGGAGACATATGGAAATCAATTAAATAGAAATTCTGAACCCCCTTGTCCTCTCCAGCCTTCACAGTTCTTAGCCAAAAGCATGTACACACAAATAGGCAAATATAAACAGATGGCTAGATGCAAGTTTCGTGCCTACATCGTGTGTATTTTTTAAACATTTCCAAATATGGAAAATAATTATCGTCCTAATGATTGTAACTGGGATTATTTCCCATATTTAATAATGAACATGGACAGCACTCTCTCAATAACAAAATAAATCTGTTACATGGAGCCTCCTTTTAAAAATAAATATGTATGAGAGGCCTATATTTTGAATGTTGCAAATCTCAACTTGTAGTGAAGCTACACACAGTTGCTTTTCTCTTCTCTCTCTGAACAGGTGCTCATTAGGCTATGGAAGCATGAATGTAAGCGTGTTATTGCTGATCGTTTCACAAATCCTGAAGACGTGGAGTGGTTTGATCAGGCACTGGCAAAGCTGATTGAAGGAGAACTTGGTAGTGATAAGGCAGCACTAGTGGCACTCAACAAAGATGCTTTCTTTGTTGATTTCTTAAGAGATGCACCTGAAGCAACAGGTAAACTTACTCTAAAATGAAAAACGTGCCTAATATTAGCACCGTACAAGGAAGTAGTAGATTTGCAGAATAATTATGCTTTTAAAACCTCATAGATAATTATAAAGTTTAAGTAAGTTGGTGGTGGAGGAGGAGAAGGAATTGTTTGCAGGAGAAATTGCAGCTTTGGAAGGAAGTCTATCTCTTTCTTCCACAGTGGGGTCCCCTTATTTTGTAATCTCTGTGCCCACCATCTAGGCTCTAAAACTGCCTCCATGAATGTCTACAGAATCTATTTTAAAGATAAGAGTGAAGGATGTCCTTTTTTTTTTTTTTTTTTGAGAATAGGAATGCAGCATGTAAAAGAATGTCTTTCCTCCCAAGCAGTGTCTCGTTCTTGAAAATCCTTCCCTCCTTAGTAGGCAAGTTGGCTTGAATACAGTCACTGCTATTCCTACAAAAACAGGGACAAGCTAGGGAGTTCTCCAAGCCTGGTTCACATAGTACTGGATAAACCAATAATCTCCCAGTATAGGAGGTCCCAGTTAGCTCTCAATTAGTATGAAGGGACTACATACAACTTGTCAGAAATCCTTCAAAGTTATCTACAGATGATGGTATGAACCATTCCATAAAGATCTGCTTAATTATACCTGTTTCCTCCATAGCTTTAAAGTGTGAATATTCAGAAGAAGCATTTGCCCAGAGACATTACTGGTAATTGCTATGCATGGCAGTAGAGATGATTAAGAAGGACAGAATAAGTAAAAGCAGGTTGATTTTGCATGAGTTATTAACAGTATGAGCATCAAGCTAAGTCTATCTTCAGTCTATTTTTGATTCCAGTTGCAGAAGCAAGATCTCACCTGACCCAGAATGCATAATCCCAAGGATATTAACTCTGAATCCAGTTCCACTGGATTCAGACTTGTGGTCAGAATATAGTTGGAATTTTAGTCTCTGCATATGTTGTTTAAAACTGCCTGCTGTTAGATATAATGGAAATACCTTCTAGGAGAACATGCATAGTTTCTCACTGTTATGAATCATGAGAAAGGTCTGTGATAGAGTATCTTCCACACCATTTGACAAATCTGTCTCTTCAAGAAACAAATAGGAAAGCTGTGAACAATCCTTTGTAAGAAACAAGTTATATATTTTTATTTAAATGGAAACACATTTTATTTCATACTAGGTCTGAAGGAAAAGTCTCTCAAAGGTAAGCTAGAGGCTTCTGATCTTGTCAAATTTGCCTAATTACTTCTAAGAGTTTGAGTTCTGCACTTAGGAGTACATCTTTAATTTCATAGATGTCAATGTGCCAAGCATGGCTGATTGTAGACAAGATCGCGACCTTGAATTTTTATTTCTGTTTTGCTTTAAAACAAATTCTAATAGGGAATAATTTCTTAGATGGTATAGCATGCTTCTTGATAGTTGACACAGCAATCTGATAAAGCTAAAATTAAGCATTGTGATGCCGTTCAGCAAATATAAATATTTCAGCTTTATAAACAATATAGGAAAAATGTATTCTCAATATAGGATAAGATAGTTGGTAAAACCAGTTGTCATAATAAATTTTAAAAAATCCTTAAGGGACTTGAAATGTTCTCTAATTGGCATTTTTAAAAAGCCTTTCCTTTGTTGGAGAAAGTTCTGCATAATTTTATTGAAGTTGTATAAGCTGCTTTAATGCTTGATTCAGCTTTTGAGATGAATTTACTTTGAGCAATTAACTGTAGTTCTAGCATTTTGTTTTGCATGGTTCAGATATTATTTTCTTTCCTTTAGAGCAAAGTGTTTTTTATTTCAATTAATTTCGGTTAACATAGTATGAAAGTATGGCATCTTGAAAAATGGCTGAGTGTCTCACAGGAACATCCTCTTCTGAATTTGCAAATATGCTTGGAACCCCCTTTTCTCTTTCACTAGTGTTCGTATTGCTCAGCCTTGCTCCAGTGTTCAGGAACTTCTTCCCTAAATCAATTTGCATTGACCTTTTTGGTGCTCATAAAGAGAAGAAGTTAATCGGCCAATCCTTCCCTTTAGAAGGGAATTATAAGAACATGACCTGGATGCATAAAAATAGTTGTTGTGTGTAAAGTCTTGCTTTATAGGTTTGCTTGTTTCAATGGCCCAATTTTATAGGCGTAGTGGCTATATAGCTTAGCCTATGTTGCTTCCCATTTCCCCAAAGATGCTGCAGCTATTTCTCCATTCCCAGCAAGTCATCCTCACACCTTTTTGTCTCTCTTTCCTGCTTTCCTTACTGCATTATGTACCCACCTACAATTTATTCCTTCTCCTGATATTTAATTCTTGTCATGTTTTCTCAGCAATTTCAAAACTTTGAGCTGGGAAATAATACCATACTATGGAAAAATTGTATTACAAAAGAGTTGAGATTAACTGGGACTCTGGAACATATATTGTTGGCATCTAAGATTTCAACATATGATATTAAGCTATATTTTCTTCTAGAAAAAGGCAGCCAACTGGGACAAATTGGAAGGAATGCAAGGAAGAAATAGTTTGATTAATTTTTTTGTGTGCTGTTACGTATAATTGGATTAGGAGAAGTGCATATATACCTTCAATGGTTAGATGTGGGGGAATTTCTTCAGGAAGCGTTAGTAACTTGTATAACTAGTTAATACAAGTCTTCAAAATGTTTCAAAGTTGAAATGTTCCATTCCAATTTCAAAACAGCCATTCCGTCCAACATTACTGAAAGTAGTCCAACTTTAAAAGATGCCCAGTTCAAGGCTGGATCACTTCTGATAACCTAGGAATGGTCTGTTCCAACATTAGACCACTAGTGGTAAGGTTAGACCAGGAAGTTCTGGGCTCAAAGCATTTTAAATTTCAATCATTCTGCATACCTCTATTAATATTTTATTAATATGTTATATTATTTATACAATAATATTAATATTAATATTAATATAGAACCATAGTTCCTTCTTAAACCACACAAAAGCAACTTTTCAGTTCACTATTTTAAAGCCCTGAAAAGAAAAATAACACAATAATAAATTATTGCCACATCCACTTAGGTCAGCAGAGTTCATAAGAGCTCATCAGCTACATCACTGCACAAACAGCCAAAATGACAGCTTTTAAAATTTCTATTTCATCTCACTGATTAGATAGGTCCTTAAGCCTGAATTCTGCTAAATCTTGCTCCCTTGCACTGCTCTTGTCATTGTTGTCACGGTTGCATTTGTAGTCATCAGTATTCACCCATTTGAGTCCCTTTCTTAGTTCTTCAGATACACAGGAACGATACACAAATTAATTCTAATTAGAAGTGTTATTTTATTATAGGAGAAGAACCAGAGGAAGCAGAAGCTGACATGCCTAAAATATATGAACCCATTGAATCTTTCGATGCCCTGAAGGAACGTTTAAACATGTTTTTACAAATATATAATGAGAGTATCCGTGGGACAGGAATGGATTTGGTGTTTTTTACAGATGCTATGATTCATTTAATAAAGGTACCTGTGGTTGCTTTAGTTACATTTTGGAGATTTCAGATGCACGAGGTGAAACTTTGATCATTCGTCAGTTTCATCTGTACAAATTCTAACAATATTCAAATGTAAATAGTGGAAATGAAGCTTTCCTGAATGATGATGAAGACTTATCCATGTGCAGTCTCTAAAAAGTTCCAGAAAATGCTCCTTTCATGATCAGTTTGTTGCCACTAGAGAAGTAAATGGTCAGTCTTTCAAAGTATAAGAAACTGGATTAATATAAAGATGAAGACCTGTTGTTTTTTTACAGTAAAATGAGACAAATCGTATTTATCCATATTCCTCCAATGAAAATCTCTCTTACAAAATTATTGTACATGAATTTGTAGTTAAGAAATTCTGCATCCTGCACCTAGTCATCTGCAGGAGTAAACAAGGCAGATGCTGGATATTGTCCCAGATTCTGTAGATAGGCTAAACATGAGAGCCAATGTTTTGCTCTTATTTATGCTGGTGCCATAATTAAAATATCCTGACATTGCTAATTAAAAATGCAGATTTACAGAATAGCAGAATTGTGGGTAAAACCATTGAAAAGTGACATTATTGAGAAATAGATTCATTCACTTGTATCAAATGTGCTAGAGATGGCAGTGAAGGTTAAGCAGGGCCAGCCCTATTATCAAGCATATGATGGCTACCTTGGTGGGAGATTATAGGAGGTAAAAGCAGCCATGATTGTCCCTGATTCACCAATCATTCCTGTAAGGTTCTGCTTCAGTCAGCTGTCCTGCTCTAGCATGTGTGAAGCACTGCTTTGTTTTTCTTTTAAGGATAGTCAAATTGAGGTAGTCAGGAGAGAGATTTCTCAGCTAAACAGAAATAAACGGTTGTTCCAGCAACCAATAGATTCTGATATTGCTTTAGTAATGTTTTAGCTTAGCTCTGCCACTATATTTAATCAGGCCTTGTTTCCATAAAGTGGCCTGTTCTGTTGACAGTACAGAATTCTCAGTGCTGTAGAGCCTCTAAGGTGACTTTGACATTTTGAACAAATTAGTGCTCAAGTCCTCGGAATTTGAGTATATTAGTGCAACCTCCTTATGACACAAGACACTGATCTTGTGTACTTTATTGAGAAAGAAAGTTCTATGCAAATAAGAACTCCAAATATGCTTCCAAACCCAAATGAGAAAAGTTGTTTGTATCAAACATTTCTTTCTCTGAGGAGGAGTAATTGGGTATCTGTGTCATTGCACCGAACCATCATATGAGTAGTGACAAGTTTTTTGTGTTATTGGCCTGAACTGATTGATATCGTAGGTGGGCTTTTGGGAAAGAAAAAAACTTTAGAAGTCAATCAGTTCAAGTTGTACACTATATCAGGTGCTTGATCATGTTATTTTAAGCTAGACTCTCTACTTCAGAAGTGGTGGAAGATGCTGGCCGTCACAGTACTGAAGTAAGATTCAAATGCTAATCCATACACTTCTGTACAAGGAATAAGAGAAGCACCATTTTGTCCTTGATACTAGAAAGCAAAATGTCTTTGGCCAAACCTGGAAGTTACATTCTTTGAAGGAGTTTAATGAATGATCAAAGCAAAGATTGGGATCAGCATTGTACTACCAGTATTAAAGAAGCTGCACTATGCAGGAACTTATCAAGTGCCTGCTTATTATTTTGTTATTCTAAATATGCAACCAATAAAATGATGCTGTGCTCTGCAGATCTCTCGTGTGATTCGCACTCCCCGTGGAAATGCCCTACTTGTTGGTGTTGGAGGATCTGGAAAGCAGAGCTTGACAAAACTGGCATCATTCATAGCAGGCTATGATATGTTCCAGATCACATTAACAAGGTAACCTGTTGAATAAACACAGTACCAAAATGAAATATTTAATTTATAAAATAAATCATATAATTAATATGGAAATCATTATTGCACTAGTTCTAATGTTAAGAAGCACAGGTCTATATAATCTTTAGCCCGCTTTTAAAACTATCTTGCCTCCCCGATGTTGTTGAATGCAAACAAATCTCCCAAACTCTAGAAATGGTTGTAGTCTGAAACTTTACTATTCAGTACTATAAATAAGCATTTGTAGTAAAGAAAAGGCAGTGCAAATTTTTCACCCTTATCTAGAACATGGAAGATAGTATTCAAAGCAGCTTTTAAAAAACAGTTTGAAGCAACATAAAAAACCAATTTTCCCCTCCAACCCTAGAAAAAGAAATAATACATAGAAATTTGTATAGGTCTAAATATTTGACAATATCATAATCATACAAAAGGTAGTTCTGAATTTTAAGAGAGAGAGAGAGAGAGAATGAAGTTATTCTCTCAATAAATTTAGGGCAATCCTCCCATTTTAAAAATAAATTATTCAGAGAAAAGAAACTAGTCTTTCAGGCAAATACAGTTATTATCTCTGTTATGTGAAATGGATTTTTAAAAAGTCTACCATAAATTCAGATTTCCTATGGTCTTCTTGTAAACAAGTCCTCAATTGTACTTCTTAGATAAAATATATTCCATCTACAAGAAATGAACTTTTTAATTTTTCCAAATTCCATGATGAAAACTCTATATGAATTATTACAGCTTGGTTTGGTTTGTTAATTGTGTTTACATTCTGTATTATTAAAATGTAATACAGCTTAGAACAATGAAACAAAAATGAAGAGTTGAAGAATAAAATAGTAGACAAATTGAGAAATAACCTTAAATAGTGGAGATTTTTAAAATGCATGGATATACTATGTAGACAGACTATAGAGTTCTAAAAGTAGCAACCATTAAAACAGACACTGAATAGAAAAGCCAAGACAAACTGTTCTTATTTTAAGGCAACTTGGCTTGATCAAAATTATTTACAGGCCAGGAAGCTTGGAATGTCTGTGACTATTTTTTCCCTTTTCCTAGATCCTATAATACGTCTAATTTGATGGAAGACTTGAAGCATCTGTATAAGACAGCCGGACAGCAAGGAAAAGGAATCAGTTTCATTTTTACAGATAATGAAATAAAAGATGAAGCTTTCCTGGAGTATATGAACAATGTTCTATCATCAGGAGAAGTAGGGTTTTCATCTCTCTTTGAGTTAGCTCTGAGTTTCCAGAAACAGAGAGAGCTTGGCTGATGAAACTTAGTGACAGACTGATTCTGTAAAGTTCTGTGCTTGAGTACACTGATGATGAAGAAACATACCTACTGAACACTGATTTTTGTGTAAACACAGAGTGGATCAAGCTCTTAGTTTTTAGTTTATTTACTACTGAGGTACAAGTAGTAAAGTAAAGACAGACCTGACGAAGATCTTTAGTAGAATCACACAGATTGAAAATGTTTTCTTTCTAGGGCAAAAATACATAGATAGACAGTTGTAGCTCTCCAAAAATTGCTGACCTTCATCTCCCAGCAGCCTTAGCTAGCAAGTCCATTGGTGAGGCAGATTGGAAGTTGTAGTTCAGTAACATCTGGATGGCCACAGATGTTAAGAATAAAAGGGAAGAAAAAGGGAAATTAAGTGTGAATGTTATTATTTATTGGCATATCCTGCCTTTTCTCACAAAGCTAGCATGCAAAGCAGCCAATAATAAAATAGCAATAAATGAATTATAATTAAAATACTTTGATTATCATTATAAACTCATGAAACAAACTAACAATCATCTCTTTAACTTCAGCATTTCAAATGGATACAATAATCTTTTAGTAACATATGAATGAATGATCGATATTTAAAAAGGCAGATAAATAACTTCTTTTTTTATCAAAACCTGACAGTTGGCTGTATGTGGGATGCTATAAAAAATGTTCTTCCCCTTTAGGTTTCCAACTTGTTTGCTCGTGATGAAATTGATGAAATCATTGGCGATCTCATTCCAGTTATGAAGAAGCAGCATCCACGACGTCCTCCCACCAATGAGAATGTATATGATTATTTCATGAGTAGAGTTCTCCAGAACCTGCATGTGGTTCTTTGTTTTTCACCAGTGGGTGAAAAATTCCGAAACAGAGCTTTGAAGTTCCCTGCCCTCATTTCTGGTTGCACTATAGACTGGTTCAGCCGCTGGCCCAAAGACGCCCTGGTTGCAGGTGAGTTGTGAGATGTTTGGCTATTGGAATGGATTATAATTTTGTCAGTAGCTTTACCATGATGACGATCTCTTCTGTAGTGTGTCATTTCCCTTGAGATCAGTTTTTTCTTCTTAGTAGAAGGTGCTTGGAGAAGGTTGTTGAAGCAAAATGGTATCAGAATCTATTTTGAGGAATGCTTTGATGCATATACATTGATTATACCTCCCCCCCATTCTAAAGAAAAATAAACTTAGAATATTATATTTAAAATCTAAATGTATTGTGTTTACATTCTGGCAAGACTGAAAAGTTTTGGATAAATTAGAGTGTCCTTAGAACACATGTACAAGGAAATTATTGTGTTGATGGCATTTCAGTAATGATAAGGTTAGAGAGTTTTCTCTCTCCACATGTGAAGCGTTAGTGATTGAGAAAGCATACTGCAGTTGAATTTCTTTCTTTGAAACAAATGACTTGATGTGAGAAATGCAAATGACAAAATTAAATGAAGCCCATTTACTTATTCTTAAAGCAATGGGATTCTTAATTCCATCAAGGCTAGAACACTAGCTTTGCTCCCAGTAATTACAGGAGGAGGATTACCCATCAGTAAAAAGAGATAAATGCTAAGCTGATTTCACTCCTGAGATGATAAGCAGAGAGCCTGTGACGTACAAATGAGAAAGAGCAGAAATAATAATATCTAACCCTCTGCATCAAAAGAGAAAAGAAAAGAAAGACCGCAGATACTTTGGCAATTAAAAGTGCTCAGTTCCCTTGGCCTATAATTTACATAGTTTGAGAGCCACATAGTTAGCAATGGTTAAAAATGGGGTGTTTATGTTATTGCATACATCAATACATGAGAGTGTTTGACGCCATGTATCTGATTTGTGAGATCACCAGGGGCATCTGCAATAAGGGCGTGTCAAAAAATCAAGATGCTCATACAGTTGAAGCCTGCTCCTTTTTATGTGCAATGCACGCACAAAAAAATGAGTGGGCTTCAATCATGAAGTTGCATCTACCATGTTGACTTTTTTGCACACACACATACACACACACGCTTGGAATTTCCCTGGATATCACATAGTTCATACTTGTCTGCCAAGTGTGTGTGTTGGAGGAGCTCAGAAGGTTGATTTTGCTGCTGTCAAGGAAGGAGAGAAGTCCAAGAACATGACTGGGATGGAGGGGTGTGAAAGAAGGATAAGGGTGGATAAGAAAAGAAACTTGCAAGGTTATCTTTGTTTTCCTCACAATACCCATATGCTTTTAGCCGAAGAAATAGGTCAGGAGTCATCCTAACTTTCTTTTGCCAGAGAAGAAATTAGTGTTTGTACTAATAGAAATTAAATCTCATTTTAGTATCGGAGCATTTCTTGTCATCATATGAAATTGATTGTACTGAAGATATCAAAAAAGAGATGGTGCAGTGTATGGGTTCCTTCCAAGATGGAGTTGCTGAAAAATGTGTTGACTACTTTCAAAGATATCGTCGATCTACCCATGTGACTCCCAAATCTTATTTGTCCTTTATTCAAGGATATAAAGCTATATACAAAGAAAAACATGCTGAGGTGCAGACCTTGGCCAACAGGTGAAGTGTTTTGATACTCTTATAATCAGGTATTGTTCTTGCCAAATAGCTCAACCGAATCTTAGTACCCAAAGGAGTGACATAAGTTCAAGAGATCTGAACTGGTTCCTTGTAGATGGCTTGTGAAATTATGCTGAGGGCAATATAAAATTAGACTAAAGGTCACAAATAGTTCTAGGGCCACAGCTTACCTCCTTTTATTTTTACGTGAAAAGGAATAATCAAAGATTATTTTCAGAATATAGACCCTTGATTGAAGTTTCTAGTCTAGTGAATTTTTGTTCTTTGGAATTTTTTTTTAAAAAGATGGTTTTATATATGCTAAATTTCAGAATGAATACTGGATTGGAGAAGCTGAAAGAGGCTTCTGAATCCGTGGCAGCTTTGAGTAAAGAGTTGGAAGCCAAAGAGAAAGAACTTAAGATTGCCAATGAAAAAGCTGATATGGTAAAGTGCAGTGTGTTTATTTCAACTTTTTCACTAATGGGAAAACCTTGAAGAAAAACCTTTAGTGGACTTCCCCTAATGGATGCCCCTCTGCACATGTTCTCTCTGAATTCCACATAGCATTAGCTGAAGATTCTAGGAGTAGCTCCTCATAAAAGGGACACATCATACAACATGCAGCCCTCAGGCCTCCTCCCTTTGCAGTCCTTGAGGCCTTCCTATTCTGGCTATGGCTGTTGAAAATTGATGCCGGAATACCTGACCATTTTGAGATGGGAATCAGAAGAAAACAGGCATATATCACAATTAAGAACCCATAAAACGTCACCCAAATCCTAGCCTTGCCTTCATGGTGTATAGCCCCACCCACTTTTGGGAGCTCAGCCAACCTAAAATGCTAACTGTAAGCATTGTGTACCAAAATGCTGGCTTGCCCCTGGCCTATGGGATCTCACACTGCTTGTTTACTGAAATACAAAGAATTTTAGTAATTGGTGAGCATAAAATTCTCTTGGCAAAGAATTATTTTCTACAGCAATAATTACTTGTTTCTCCATTTTTTCTTTCACTCTTTTTTTTAATGTCCTCAATAGGTGTTAAAAGAAGTCACAGTGAAAGCCCAGGCTGCTGAAAAGGTGAAAGCAGAAGTTCAGAAAGTGAAGGACAAAGCCCAGGCTATTGTAGACAGCATTTCGGCAGACAAGGGTATCGCTGAAGAAAAATTAGAGGCTGCTAAACCTGCTTTAGAAGAGGCTGAGGCTGCTTTGCAGGTTAATGAAGAATGAAAGGAGAGTCCACTGTTTGGCCTTACGCAGATGTGCTGTCCTCTCAGAAACCAGATTTCCCCAGATTGGAAACAGTTCTATGTGCTCCCTCCTTTCCCTTTCCCATCATGGGTGAAATTCATGTGCATTTGCATGAATGCAAATTATGTCAACCCTCCCCCCCACCCATCCCCTTGATCTTTACTCATGTCTTCCTAGGATAGCTGCTCAATTTATTTTTTTAATCCTTGGGGTTTATTCTCTGTATGTAAAACATACTTTTCACACAGAGAATAAACCCCAAGGATTAAAACAATTTACAAAAAGAAGGCCACATAACATTGGTGGCAGAGCCAGCAATCTCCAACGGATCAGAAAAGCTACCTACTGTTAGTGAAAACATGTCAAAGCAGTCAACCCCCCCTCCCCCGGTCATAGCATTCTACGGCTACTAAATCTACACAGCTAAATTACCTGCCATTTATTGGCAGGAATTAATCACATCCTTCTTAGTCCAAGTGCTGCTTCACCTGTTTCTTTCAAGAAGTCAGCCACCATTCAAGACTGGCAGGATTTTCATATATCAGGCAGTCCCCTGTAGATCCTGCAATGTAATTAATGTTATTAAGTGTAAACTTCCAAGGAGTCACCGTCAATATGTAGGTAAAATGACTGATTTGCATCCACATTTTACAGCCCATAAATCAGCCACTTGGCAGAAACCATTAGAAGAACTAACTGCGGGCCACATCAGTTCAAATAACCACTGCCTGTTTAATTTGACAGAAATAGAAATACCATCTGATCTAGAAATATGGAGAAATGTGATATATACACTGTGATCTCAGTCTGGGGAATAGCATCTAACATCATTTACCTACACCAAGTATGTTTTGTTCTATAGCAGCCACATTAACTATGGCAGTCACTTCACATCAGAGCAGCTGAAGAAGGTGGAAGCTCAAACAATTACCTTCTAAACTTTTACAATTCTCTTTTATTAATCTGTGTCAATTATTCACGCACACAGACAGGCACATGCACACTTTCATAGATTAGCTATTGTAAAATAATTAAAAATACAGACTCCTTCAAGTCATGCACAATACCTGGTGGCTCCATGGGCATGCTGATGCAATGCTATTGGAAGCAACCTGGAAATGGTTTGCCACAGCGGCTTTCCAGGTTGCTTTTCCAACTTCCAACTTAGCTTACAAGCCTGTGATTTCCTGTTAGTCTCCCATCCAAGTATTCACGTCTGATCCTGCCTAATTCTTTGAGAAATGCCAAGATTGGCTAGGTGCTACTACCTGGTATGATAGGGTGTGTCCTAAATAATTTTATGCAAAAAATAGATAAATGCCTACCAAGAGTTAAGTACTAGATGATGCTTGTCATGGTCCTGGCTTAACAACAACTGTGTATTATCTTAATTTCTGAATATAGTTTGATGTAATTGGCTGATGTTGTTGAACCCACCGTGGGATGCCTTTAAATGAAAAGCCTGCTGATTTTTTTCAGGCACTTAAAAAAGACTGTGATAATTCTTAATTCTGTCCACCCTTTCAATCATGTAGACAATCAAGCCTGCAGACATTGCCACTGTCCGCACGCTGGGTCGGCCACCTCATCTTATCATGCGTATCATGGACTGTGTATTGCTGCTGTTCCAGAGGAAAGTAAATGCTACCAAGATAGACCTGGAGAAAAACTGCATTATGCCATCATGGCAGGAGTCCTTGAAACTGATGACAGCAGGAAACTTCTTACAGAACTTGCAGGTATTCCAAAATGCACAGATTAAAAAAAAGAAGACAGCGCCGAACAAGTTATGGATGTGTAATATATAGTGGCAGCAGAACATTGCATGTGGGAGGAAATTCAGCTGGAGTTATGTCTGACCCCTAAACATTTTCCATCTTGTCCCATGGAGAGGTTTCCCCCATGCATACGTATACCATTTTTCCTCCCAACCCTAAATTTAGACATAGAGCTCCTCCTGTGCGAATGGGGATATGGAATTGGGAAGTAGTAGCTTTTAAGAGAGGGTAGAAAACCTGCAGGCCGCATGCGGCCCCCAGCTTTTACATCTCCCCAGCCTCCTGAGATTTATGAAGAGAGCTATGTAGTTGTTCTTTTACAAAATGTAAGGGGGGATGGAAGTGAAAGGCTTTTGGGAGATAGCTTCCATTCCTACTTTTAAGCCCCTCGTCCAGAAACCCCACAAAACAATCAAATATATGATCACTGAAATTGTGCCTTTGGGGCACCAAAAATTAGTGGCATGATTTTGGGCTGCGTTGTTTTATTTTGGTTATGCATTTTTTTCTCTTCCAGAGCCCTTCCATTCCTGCTTTTAAAATCAGATGCAAAAGACCCACCACCACTTCCAGGGATGTCATTATAGCCTCAGTCTTAGTCTGGACTTTGTTCAGTACTGAGAGACTTCACTGCTGTATGCCTGTGAGAGACGGTGCAGCTTGCCAATTACCAGATGAAAGTCCTAGAGCAGTGTTGTCCAAACTTGGCCACCTTAAGATGAGTGGACTTCAACTCCCAGAATTCCCCAGCCAGCCATGCTGGCTGGGGAATTCTGGGAGTTGAAGTCCAATCATCTGGGAGTTGAAGTCCACTCATCTTTGGACAACACTGTCCTGGAGAATGGACTCATGACCAATTAATATGAAAAGTTCAGAGACAGAGAAACAATTTCAAAGATTGTTCTTATTTCTCTCTTTGTCCTTCTGTGTAGGTGTTGGTAAATAGAGATTTTGCTCTCCAATAATTACAAAACAATCTATAATTCAGCACCTAATAAGGATGGCAGTAGTGTGAGCAGGCACCAGCTCAAAACCCAAGCACAGTGAAGATCAGGAAGGTAGAAATTAGATAGACAAACTTTCATGAACACAAGTAGTAATGCAGCTTATTTTGATATAGAATTCTGTGGAAAACGTAGCTTAGAAAAGAAGGCATAACATTAAATAGTTGGACTTTTTATTTTGTTTGATTTTGGGTAGTCAGTGAAAAATGATCTTTTCCATGATATTTCTAGCAATTTCCAAAAGATACAATTAATGAAGAAGCAGTGGAACTCTTGAGCCCTTATTTTGAAATGGCAGATTACAATATTGAGACAGCTAAGAGAGTTTGTGGAAATGTGGCTGGCCTTTGCTCATGGACCAAAGCAATGGCTGCCTTCTTCGCTATCAATAAGGAAGTTCTACCTTTAAAGGTGAGTCCAATGAAATTGGCAAGGCAGACTAAAACTATATCAATAGCAATTTACAGCATTAGAACATCTAGTGTAGGAAATTCATGTTATAGATTAGATTTACATATTGGACTCAGCCATCATGAGATGTGATAAAGTATGTTCCCAAATGAAAAATCTAGCTTTCCTAGCTTCAACTCTTATGGGAATCCAGCTGTAATATTAGAAATGATTTTGTTTATGTAGTAGAAAGGAATCTACTGTAGATTATAAAACACTATAGATTTGGTCTGCAGAGAGAGTAGCATATTTATAAATGTTCCTCTATATGGGAGAAAAAAAGCCTTTAATTACAAAGTAACAGAAGACACAGTGTGTTGGGCTAGTTTGTGTGTGTATGTGTGTGTATGTGTGTCTGAGAGATCATTAAGAGTCAACATCAATTTGATGGTATGTAGTGCTGGCCGGCCGGCCGGCTGGCCTGCCTGCCCCTCTCTCTCTCTCTCTCTCTCTCTCTCTCTCTCTCTCTCTCT